AACTTATTCTAAGAAGAGGAAAAAAGGTTGCTAATGAACCAATTTTCTTGTCTCTCTTCCTTGCTAGGTCAGCCACCCTTCTCCATAACTAACATAAGAAAAAAAAAAAAAAGAGGGAAAAAAAATCCTCTTAATTAAATAAAAACATTTGAAGACCTGTTATCAAAAGCACTTAAACTACTAAGATCCAAAACATCTCTTCATTACTCTTAACCGTGACCTGTTATAGGAAATAATCTAAAATTTTATTAGTCACTTAAATATGTTAAGTCAACTCAGAAAAGTATGGAAAAGAAATTAAATTATGTGTCCACTCTAAGTAGCTGCCAGGAAAACTCTTAACCATGCTGTGGGCAGTGCAGCAGTCACCTGGAGTGAGTGAAACATGCCCCCTGCGCTGTTTTCCTCCACATTCTCCGCCATGTACATCCCCAAAGAGGGCAATGGTATGCACTCTGTGCTTACCACAGGTGTCTGCCCAAGAACAGGGACCGTGTCCAGGGCTGTGAAATGGAGCAACTTCATCTACGAAACACAAATGGTCCCCTTGACGCACCTTCTGCAGAACCCTTTATGATGGGCTTAATTTTTTTTTTTTTTTCCCTGTGGGAGATGGGGATGGGGATAGGCAAAAGTAGAGGATTTGGAGAGAACAAACTTCATCCAAGGCCTCACTTGGTTACTTTCAGCCATGGGGATGCTGAACAAATCACTTAGCTTCTCTCAATACCAGTATCTCATGTCTATGGTGGGGGCATCACAACCACTACCTGTCGACACTTTTTTAAGATTTTATTTATTTAGGGGCACCTGGGTGGCTCAGTGGGTTAAAGCCTCTGCCTTCGGCTCAGGTCATGATCCCAGAGTCCTGGGATCAAGCCCTGCATCAGGCTCTCTGCTTGGCAGGGAGCCTGCTTCCTCTCTCTCTCTGCCTGCCTCTGCCTACTTGTGATCTCTCTGTCAAATAAATAAATAAAATGTTTTTAAAAAAAGAGATTTTATTTATTTATTTGAGAAAGAGAGAGACCACAAGCAGGGAAGTGGCAGAGGGATAAGAGAACCAGACTCCCTGCTGAGCAGGGAGCCCAATGTGGAACTCAATCCAAAAACCCTGGGATTATCACCTGAGCCAAAGGCAGACACTTAACCGACTGAGCCACCCAGGCGCCCCGAGATTTTTTTGAGAGAGTTAAATTTAAAGAGATCTTGAATGTGAAGGCACCCAGCATTACACCCTGGCACGTGGCAGCCTCTCAAATCCTGTTTGTTCATTCCTCTGAACCCCGTATTTTTACTTAATCACCAGCACCTTGGGTACAGGTATACCCTGGGACACGCTTAGGTGACAGTAAGCACTGAACTCATGCTCTCACCTTAGTGGCCACTGAACAGTGTTCACCTTCCTCCACCATCGAGCTGTCTTCAATGTGTCCTATTAAAGACTTTCAAAGGGCCAAGGGGCTCCAGCCAGCCTCTTAAGATGAAACACGAAATTTGATACAACATTTCCCCACTAGGTGGTGCTGCGTGTTAAAGCTTCCCCTCAGTTAATGTATCTCAATATATTAATTTCTGATGCCAGAAAAATGACGAAACTCCCCGCGGAAGAGGAAAGAAGTATAGATTTGCCTCCCCCAAATACGATAATTTGTTACTAACTCCTCCCAAACATCACAGCAAAACAAGTGAGCTAACTCCGCGCTGAGCCAGCGGCTTTTCAGCGAGCGCGCCGCGCCTTTAGTCACTTCAAGTGACCCTCAGCGTCAGACAGCTTTGCAGCTACTTGTACTTTCTTTACACAAAACTCGTCCTTGGTTTTCTTCCGGCAGGCAGCTTCGCAGACAACGACAAACGATGATGCTGCGGAGCCCCTGTCTGCGGAGCCCCTGTCTCCCGCCAGGCGTCTGGCAGGTACCCGGCGCCCGAACGCTGCTCCCCGAGGTCCGACACCGAAAGCCGGGCCCACTGCGGGGTCGGCCCGGGTCCTTCCCCCACGGCCACCAGCCGGCGCCGCGGGGCCTCGCCCTCCTCCCGCACCGCGGGCCCCGGTACTCACCGTGGCCGAGAAGCTCCGGCCCCGGCCCCGCAGCGTCGCCAGCAGGAGCCGCCACAGCCCCCGCGCCCCTAGGGCCGCCGCCATGGCCGCCGGCCCAGGGCTGCCCGGCGCGCTGCCTGCCCGCAGCCCGCAGGCGTCCACCGGGCGGGCCGGGAGCCGGGAGCGGTGCGGGTGGCCCCCAGCCGCGGGCCAATTGGTCCTACAGGCGCCCGCGCGGCCCGCCCCGGAAGGTCCCGGGAGCTTCAGGGCCTCAGACCGTGCTGGGAGCAGGCGGGCGGGCGCCGCAGGCCCCCGCGCTCTCAGGTCCTGCTCCGCGCCGGCCGCGTTGTGCCTGCCTCGCGGCCGCTCTCCCGCCCGCGTGCTCAGGTTTAACCCCCGGTGGGCTCTTCGGTGTCCGGGCTCCGGCTCCCCGCACTCTCGAGGACAGTCGGTGCTGGGCTCCCTGCTGGGCGGTGGGGCCAAGAGCCCGAGTTGGTGGCGGCACTTTGCGGGCGGGCACGGGGGGAGATGGGCTCCGGTGGGTGGGTGGGAACCAGTCCCTTCCCCGCTCGCGGAGGGCAGAGAACCACAGTAGTTCGGGTCTGAGCATGTAAGGTAGGGAGCCGTGGGTGCTGCTGGGCCTGCCAAGCCGCTGAGGGCTTGGGCACGCTGCTTCATCGGTGCTAGCCCAGATAGGACAGTCTGGAAACTCGGCTCTTCATGCTCGCTAAAGAGCAGCGCACGCTGCGCGCTCCAGTGATGAACGTAGACAGTCACAGGATTCCCCCCCTGCCCCCGCCCCCAAAGAGGTGGATTCTTTTTTGTTTTTTTTTACTGTTTTTTTTTTTTTTTTTTTTTTTTTTTGCCTTTTTTTTTTTTTACATGTCACATAACAATTTACTGGCTTTTAGTATATTTACTTGCACCTTTTTTTTACTAGCTTAAGCAAATTAATAATATAACCAAGTTTGCTTAGGATTTAGCCATATACTCAATTTTTTTTAATATCAGAGTCAATATAAGTTCAACTTAGCAGTTGCTAGCGGTTAATTTTATATTCCATATGAAGTTGAGGGAAAAAAAGCTTTCTTGCCTCAAAATATCCTAAAATTCAGACATGGCTCAATATGCATTCTTAACATTTGCCCACTTGACAAAAACTCAAGGGAGGAATCTTGCTGCAAACTCTGATCAGATGTCACTGACCTCAAGGCATCCATCTAAGGCACTAGTTTCCATTGCCTGATGCCTCAAGTGGGCAGCGACTGGAGATGGAATTAAAAGTTTCGTTTCCAGTACTTACTCGGGTGTATACAATCATGAATACCCTGCAGACTTGCTTATTAAAGTTAGAACTGCAAAATTAACTGGTAGGTGTGAGGTAACAAGACTCCTCATTTTCCTTCCCTAAATCCACTTTAGGAAACTGGTGTCTTAGCTCTAGTTATGAAAAGCAGCAGCAGCAGCAGTAGCATGCAGGTAGGGCCTAGGGCAAGTGATGTTCACCAGTAGGGGCTGTGGATACTCAGCCTTCACATGTAGGTCTCCAGTTAGTAGGATTTAAGTTCCTTACCAAAGATTTATTGAGCAAGTCCTCTATAGTGGACACTCTTGGGAAAGGCAGTCTCCTGCTCACAGTCTTTTAAGCCTTGCTCACCCATGTAAGAATAGGCCTTAGGCCTAGAACACTCCCTTACTGATTGTTACAAAGAGCCCATACAGCCTGTTCCAGGCTTAACACCTTGTGTGGGAATATCCTTCCCTGATCCAGGCTCACTCAATATGTACTCCTGTATTCTGCTTGAGCACGCAAGTCAGAGCCCTGGGGCATGCCGCCCCCCCCCCCCCGCCCCTTTCAGTATTACAGACTCCACTGGGTTGGGAGGAGCTTGTGCTAAGACACTAGAAGGGCACTCTGGCCTTTCACTGCTGGGGAGGATCCACTTGCCTTGGGGACCACCGCACACTCCTAGAGCTGATCTCGCTCTCTCTCTTTTGTTGAGTACAAATGCTGTTCCATCCAGTATGGGACTGTGTTGTGTCTTCCTTGGCAACTGATACTAACCAGGAGTGAGCAAAAGTGTCTGGATTTATGTCCCCAATGACTGGCATTCTCATGATCTTTCTGTCTTCCATACAGCTGAATTCCCGCCCTCCCCATCCCTGGCACTGGTACCAGTGCACAGACACCATGCTTGGCTTGGGATGGTTTACCTGATCTTGGACCTTTCGTCCTGCCTCCTACTTCCCGTTCCCTCAGCACCAGGGCTTTCCAATGATCCTCTCTACACTTGAACCTCCCCTCTAGGGAATGGCCCTGCTCCACCTTCCCTCCAAGGGAAACCCAGGTAGCTTGTCTCAGCTTAGTGTTAGAAGCAAAGCCATGGATCTGTTGGCCGTACTAAGAGCCTGTCCTCATCCTCCACACCAGCATAGGGCCCCATTACATATCAAAGGCATGAATATGCCTGTATCTTTAATAAGACAGCTTCTCATCTGGGAGTGTGCCCCCCCCAGCAAATAAGACTATATACAATCATAACTTCAAAAAAAAAAAAGTTAAGTAATGCTGAACCTTCTCAAAGATCTATTATGTAGTCATGGTTAGGAAATCTCTTGGCAACAGTGAAATATTTATCATTTGTTAAGCCAAACAAAACAAACAAGGTGCTAAATGACAATTATGTTATGACTCTAACTATGGGAAATAAAGGAGAAAGACAAGAGGGTAATGGATTATGATTGTCTCTCAGCCCATGGCACAGAGGCCCCTCCAGTCACCATGCTTAGTTTGGAACGTGGGTCCCCCTACTGGAAGCTGCATGACCCAGAGCAGGTTATTTGGGGCCTCATTTATTACCCTTCTATAAAACAAGGATATTTAATATTAGTGTCAATCTCAGAGCTACTGTACCAATAAATAAAATGGTAGGTAAAGAACTTAAAATAGTAGGAACACACACAGTTAGACTCAAGTGTTCGTTATTGTTATAAAAGATGGAATCACTGTAAGTTTTTCTTACAAGTACACACACAGATACATGTAAAGGTTCAAATCCCAGCTTCATCAGCTTACTGTGTATGTAACCTGGGCAAGTTACTCAGCCTCTCTCCATGCCTCAGTCTGCTCATTTGTAAAGTGAAAAAAATACTAGTACCTTTCTGAACCACCAGTGACCACCCCAGCCATAGCTGTCCACAACTTAAAATTGTAAACTCCTGCCCAACATAACATTCAGACAAGGTGACTCAACTAATCTATTTCCATAGAATTTTGGGTGCATGATAAAATGAACTACTCTATCTGAAACACTGGAAATAGTCACTACAAAGGTTACTTGTCATTATGTGGTCAGATGTCTTATAACTGCATTTAAGGGATCTTTTAGAAACAGCTTTTCACCAAAAAAGTTGGTATAAATTACACATTGTCTCTTTTCTACCTGTGTCCTAAGCTAGACTAGAATCAACTTGCAGGCAAGAACAGTGTTACATATTTCTTTTGGCTCTGACAAACTAGCACAGTGCCAAGAACGTCTTAAGGTTGAATCAGTGCATGCTGGTTAGGTAATGACTAAAATTTGAGTTACGCTTTAGCCTAGAACTGTTACTAAATAAGCTTTAGTTTGATGATATTTACTTTCTTCTAACATCTGCCCTATCCAGAAATGATTTAAACCACTTCAAATTCTTCCGGTGAAATTAGAGATCATAAACACCAAAGTACTTGACTCTTATTTTCCCAGTTACTTACAAGGTCACACTTATCAATTGTAGTTCTTCTTCCACAACAGAACATTTTCCTGCTTACAGGCTCTGAGAGAAAAACTGCAAATGAACAGAAACCAACCTTCTTCGACATAAAGACTTTTTAGGAATCAAGACTTTTCTAGAACTATACTGTGAAAAGTCCTATTTCCTCCTATGAAGCCAATTATCATTCTACGCACTGTTCCACCTGAACACAGCTCCCATTTGAAACTGGATTACCCTCTTAAAATATTGGAATAGTAAAAACAAGAATGGTGACTTCTGTTGAATTTGCATTTGTTTTTTGTGGTACTAATTAAAACACCAATTTATAATTTTTTAACACATTCAACAGTTCAACAAATGCATGATTCTTTTAATCTGACTAAAGCTGTAAGTCTGTACTTCACTGGAGAATATGTAAGGAAGTGCAGCATTAATTTCTGAAATTTCTTGTCCTGACGTCTCCTTTCAGTCCGTTGCTATTCAGCATGTTCCTGTTCCTGTCCTGGAATTAGCCACCGAATGCTCTCCGTTCGAATGGTAGCGTACATAATAAAACTAATCAAAAAGAATAAGGAAAATACAAGCAGCCAGTCCACACTTTTTATCAAAGTGCTGGGAAGAGGGCCTATTTGGTCAGCTTGAGTTACCACCACATTTTTCTTGGCTTCTATACCTGAAAGAGAAATCAGCTGTTTCAAATCAGAGAGAAAACATACCCGCTAAAGATCTTTCTGAAGTATTCTGCATGGTATGCAAAAAGATATGCAGTCTTAAAATAAACACCACACGAGTATATCTGGGATGGGTCTCACTTGCCTGTTAGTGTAATTTGTAACTTGCCTTTCTCCCACCACATCAAAGGAACAGGAACCCATTCAGCTGTTCAAACCTAAACACTAGAATTTCTGTGAACTCCTCAGAAGGGTCTTCGGGCATGGTGAGAGTTGTCTTTTGTTCTCTTTGAGATCAAAATTCAATAAGCAACTGGTAAAGCTACTTTCAGGAGTCTACAGAATGTTTTCACAGGTGAAGGAATGCTAAATTCAAAATGCTTTTAAATAAGTCACTGAAAAAATTGTTAGGACTAACCACCACTGATAGCAGAGATTAACAAAGATGCTGTGACTCCTCAATTTCTTTTATGTTCTAGGTTTTCTTAGAATGTTGAGCAAAATGGCTCCCTCTCTCCATTTCAACCTGATTGACAGTCATGGGTCTGGTACTATAATACTTGAATAGCTAATTAACTGTTAACAACCCTTTCACTCCTATGAGGTAACTCAGTTTTATGTTCTTTACTGTGAGATATAAGTAATGAGATGCAACTTAATACATATGGAAGGTATGTTATAACTCATTTTGATTTCCAGTGAATATACTTCAGGAAGAAGTAGGGTGCTCATAATTAAGGCATTAAAGCTTTTATGGAGCAAAGTTTTGCAAAGAAAATTTCTTCAATAGTCCGTGTTCAGACTTTTACAGAATAAAAAATAAGGCCACATGTTTTGGCAAATATTAAGGAATTAAAATAGCATCTGCATATGGATGAATAAACGGAATACCGCACAGCAACAAAAAGGAAGAAAATATAACCATATGCATCAACATAGGTGAATCCCACAAACATAATGGTGACTGAAATGAGCCAGACACAAGGGAATCCATTATATGTGTCTCCATTAATATAAAGTTCAAAAACAGGGGCGCCTGGGTGGCTCAGTGGGTTAAAGCCTCTGCCTTCGGCTCAGGTCATGATCCCAGTGTCCTGGGATCAAGCCCCAAATGGGCTCTCTGCCCAGCAGGGAGCCTGCTTCCATTCCTCTCTTTCTGCCTACTTGTGATCTCTGTCTGTCAAATAAATAAATAAAATCTTTTAAAATTATATATATATAGATATAAAGTTCAAAAACAGATAACACTAGTTCATGGTGTTAGAAGTCAAGATGGTGGTCACCCTGATGGGAAGGAGCAGTAGCGCTGAGGGGATGGACTGGTAATGTTCTCTCTGGGTCAGAGTCTGGTTACCCAAGGCGTTCATTTTGTGAAAATTCATCACCCAGCACACCAATATAATGCACATATTTGTGTAAATATTACACTTTAGTGAAAAATGTATGTAAAAAGTTAACTACAGGTGTATGGTATGTGAATTATAGAATAATAAAGCTGGTTTTTTAAAGGTATCAATAATCACTAAAAATACCTATTCGTATTAAGCTTGCTGCTGGTTGAGAGACTTTTAACAGAACCATGGTAGTTCTCATGAAAAGAAGGTTTACACCTGAAATCCAGTCTTGATTCCTTCACTTAAGAAGAGCAGACAGGAACCCACAGAAGACATATACCTCCAGCAATAAAGTCCCTTCTACAGCATATAATCTGTACATACCTGTCTGGTTAAAAAGGAAGACTTTCAGTGTTTCCAATGTTCGGTCTGTATGATTAAATCTAGCCATTGGCTTAGCTCCTTGAAATAATAAAATGTTAGGAACAGCTACGGTGCCAAACCTGGTAGAAAGGCTATAACAGAAAGCAGTCAGTGAGACAACCTAACTACCAGCGGGTTTCCTCACACAGTTACCATATCAGAATGGATGGCAATAAATGAGAAAGCATCATTTTCCTGTGACCTACAAAGGTCTGATAGTCAAACTATATGCTTATAGCTATTTCTGACCTTTTCCCTTATGGGTTGAGGTTGGGGGCATTCCTGTTCTGCTGAGCTACTTTCTGTTACAACAAGGAACTACCCTTGACACAGTTATTCCACTTTTTTTTTTTTTTTTAATTAAGTAAACTCTACCCCCAATGTGGGGCTGGAACTCACCACCACAAGATCAAGGGTCGCATGCTCTACCAACTGAGCCAGCCAGGCATCCCCTAGTTATTCTGCTATTTAAGTTGCAAACTGCCAAAAGAGATCAGACCAGAAAATTCTAACTCATGGACAAAACAAACTGTGTCAATTAACTTGACAGAAGAAATTTCAAACTCTCCAGGATGCCCATCTCCATCCCTCATACAAGAGGAATGGGAATCTGCAGTCTAGCAGACACACCAGGAAGTTCACAACTGGGGCAGGATGTAACAGGATCTGAGTGGGACTGGTTCACCTTTACATAATACAAAGTCATGGTATAAGCTCTGGAGTCAAAACACATGGGTTCAAGTCTCAGATCTGTCACCTACCCAGCTGTGTGAGCTTCAGGCAGACTATCTAACCTCTCTAAACCTCAGTTTCTCCTGTTAGTAAAATGATAGTATTGGATAGGATTTTTTCTTTTGTAAACATGCTGTCACTTAAATATTTAACACAGGAGGCAAACATATGTCATAGGCCAAATAACAAGGACAAGTATCCTCTACTCTCCATGATTAAGGCACCATAAGAGGCACTGAGAAGGACTCATGGAGATGACCAAATGAAGCAGATGATAAAAGCCCGCAGGGAATGGAACCCCAAACCCAGAGTACTAAGCTGGTGCTGGGACCCAGCCTGGCAGGCTTGGGGCAGGGGAATGCCCAAAGTCTGACACTAACCTAGACCGTCCTTACCATCAGTCTGCTCCCTTGGGCCAGGCCACATAGATACTTCTCTGAAGCCCTTGTGAGAATTACTAACTTGCTGTGATTCTTTCTCCCTAAAAAAGTTTAGGTAAGGGCACCTGGGTGGCTCAGTGGGTTGAGCCTCTGCCTTCGGCTCGGGTCATGAGCTCGGGGTCCTGGGATCGAGTCCCACATCGGGATCTCTGCTCGGCAGGGAGCCTGCTTCCTCCTCTCTCTCTCTGCCTGCCTCTCTGCCTACTTGTGATCTCTCTCTGTCAAAAAATAATAATAATAATAATAATAATTTAGGTAAATATTAGCAGTTATATTATCCACACTGAAGATCAATAGAGTGCAAAGTTTTACTCAAAATTTTTACTCGAGGGACACCTGGGTGGCTCAGTGGGCTAAGCATTCAATTCTTGGTGTCAGCTCAGGTTGTGATCTTAGGTTCACAGGATCAAGCCCCACGTCAGGCTCTGTAGGGTGTCTGCTTCTGTCCCTCTCTCTCCCCCTCTCCCTGTTCACTCAGTCCCTCCCTCCCTCCCCCTCTCTCAAATCAAGAAATAAATAAATCTTTAAAAAAATTTTTTTTTACTCAAAAAAGTTTAACCAACTTCATTTTTACCAACTTGACCATCTTCCAGACTTCCCAAACTGATTCCCACACAACCTCCTGCACCCTGCTAAAAGGTATGTGATGTAGAGGAGGAGGGTCACGCTTTATAACCCAGGCACAGTCACAGCACTGGGGGGAAATACAGAACATGTGAACATAGGTCTTTATAACGCAGCTCACTCAACATCTAAAAAAGACAAGAGCCCACTGAATAATATAAAACAAAAGTAAATGTCATTTTAAGGGCCTAAATTAATTCATGAATTGATTCACTGTGCACTAAGGAACATACATGCAAGAATAAGTGTAAACAAAAGGAGAGAAGAAAGGGGGAGGGAAAGAAAGAAATCCTGAGCAGACATACAACAGGGTGCTGAGTCGGGGCTGCCAGGGGTAGAAACCTAAACCATGGGTGAGTCTCAGGAGGGTCCCACTTGTGATACCAATTTTGCTAATTTAGGCTGGCCAACACCCTGAAGAGTCCTCTGGCCCCTCCACTGCCATCAGGTGGAGCCACCTTTAAATTCCACCCTGCAAACTGGTGCAGACCCTATGGAAAACAGCGTGGAGCTTCCTCAGAAGGTTAAAAATAGAACTACCCTAGGATCCAGCAATTGCACTACTAAGTTATTTATCCAAAGGATACAAACATAGTAATTCGAAGGGGCACCTGCACCCCAGTGTTTATAGCAGCAATGTCCACAATAGCCATAATATGGAAAGAGCCCAGATGTGCATCAACAGATGAATGGATAAAGATACACACACACACACACACACACACAACAGAATATTACCCAGCCATCAATAAGAATGAAATCTCACCATGTGCAGTGACATGGATAGAACCAGAGAGTATTACGCCAAGTCAGCCAGAGAAAGACAGATACCACATGATTTCAGTCATACGTGGAATTTAAGAAACAAAACAGATGAACATAGGGGAAGGGAAGGAAAAACAAAATAAGATAAAAACAGAGAGGGAGGCAAACCTCATAAAAAAAAGAAACTCGTAACTCTGGGAATCTGAGGGTTGCTGGAGGGAAGGTGGGTGAGGAGACCGGGTAACTGGGTGGTGGGTACGAAGGAGGGCACGTCATGGAATGAGCACTGGGCATTACATGCAACTGATGAATCACTAAACTCTACCCCTGAAACTAATAATACACTATATGTTAACTAAATTGAACTTAAATTTTTAAAAAATTATTAACTCAGTCATAACAACTCATTCATTTATATAATACAACCAAGTGACTTACTTCTGTGCAAAATGGGGGGAAGTTATAGTATGTAACCACTCCCCCTGTTTTGAGGACAAAATGACATACAAAATGAAAAGTGCTTTCCCCAATATCTAGAACCTGGTAAGCCCTCAGTAAACAATAGATATGATTAACATAAAAATAGGTTAGATGGGTAGATAGATGATTGACAGATAAATTCCACTGTGCAGAGAACAGTCTCTCCTCTTCAGGGGCCTCCAGAAAGTGAGGCCTCAGCTTCCTGAGGAACATGACCACCCTCACCACTCACCCTTGTCTATCCCTCTCACCAGTCCAGCTTCCATGCTCACACCTACCTCCTCGGCTTCAAACTTAACTGATGACAACCTCCACATAACTGCAAGCATCAGCCAGGAGGGTGACACATAAGCTCTACTCAGGGAACATACCTGCTGTGCTGAGATGCATCCAGTGCCAAAAAATGAAGAGCTGGAAATGCCCGGGGCAGAGAATTAAAATGAGGGGCCAAACTGGCAGAAAATCGGCACCACGGGGTGTAAAACAGGACTAGCGTGCAGTCACTACCATTTGGGTTTAGAAAATCCATAAGGTCCTGTAGTAAAAGAAACAAGTGAGAAAGTCAGCAGAAAGTGTTCACGTACATTCCTCTGGAAGAATGCCCAAGAAACTGGAAACACTGCTGCCTCCAAGGAGAGGAGGCAGGAACACGGACTGGAGAGAGTCTATAGGTATCCCCTTAATAGACTTGTGGGTTTTGAACCATAGGAATACATGAATCAGCAGAAAAGTATTATCAAATAACAAATCATAAACTTTCCTATAAACTTCCTTGATAGTACTATAGAGCAATTATATTATTTTTCATAATCCATCAATTCAAATACTAAGTACCGATAAGGCACAGGCCTCTCACACACTCTAACGGCATTAATAAAGCACTGAGATCTCAGGCCCCAATCATCAATTCAGCAGATCCCAATCCACAAGCAGCTGAATCAGTGTATTCAGCCGAAGGCTAGTTCAATTTAAGGGTGCACCCTCCCTGCCACCACCCTACTCACACTGCTGAAACGGCTCTCTCCTGGTCAAGTGTGTGACACCCTAGAAACAGTCCTGCAGAGCTAAGGCACGGGGTTAACCGGGCGCTGAGGGGATTGTGTGAGGCCAGCGCTGACTACTGCACGTGGAAGGACACTCAGCGTACCACATACCCTCATTTAAAATAAGCAGTCACAGTGTGCAGAGCTAGGATTTCTTCTCATATTACATAAGTAGCCTGAACTCATCCTGCTACCTAGCTTAACAATCCCACAGAAATAGTCATTATCCCAGTATTCTCTTCAGAATTATCCTTTATCCAATGGACTGGTAAAGCATGGCTGGGTTGGGGACAACTATCTCAGCTCTCACTCCAGAGAAAACACTGGAGTCAAGCTCTTTGAAGGAAAGAAATTTTTCATTAACATAAAATGCTCCCCAGGGGTATCACCACTCTAAACAACGCTAAATCACAATCTTAGTAATTCAGATTTTTTTTTTAACTTGCCTCTGTAATAAATACATCATTTGGAAGAAGAAAAATGCTAGGAATTCTGATCCCAAGCGCCTATCTGTTCACTGGGATTTTTTTTTTAAAGATTTATTTATTTATTTGCAAGAGAGTAAGAAAGAGGGCATGAGAGTGGGGGAGGAACAGAGGAAAAGAATCTCAAGCAGACACTGTGCTGAGCACAGAGCCCAATGTGGAGCTTCATCTCATGATCCCGAGATCACAACCTCAACCTAAACCAAGAGTCACACTTAACCAACTGAGCCACTGTTGGTGCCTCTGTCCACTGGGATTTCCATCATGAGGCCTGGTGGAGAGAGGACCCCAAGGGTCAACCCGTCTAAAAAACATAACTGACACTAGTTCTATCACCTCCTCTCCCTACGAACATCATAGAGAGCCAAATGAATTTTCAGTGATGCACCCATTAGATGCCGTCCCACCTATAAAATGATGAAAATTCTGACCCAGCAGCTGAAAGTCTATAAAATCAATAGCAGAAAAAGAGAAAAGCACTAAACCATTCTTTCTTACCTGTGACATATTTAAAATTTTCAGAGTGAAGTTTTCTAATCCCGTCACATTTCTCTCCTCGCAGTTCACCTTGGGGGATTTCAGACTTTCCGTGTTATTGGAGTCCTCGGGTGGGGCCGGGTCGGATTCGGCCACTTCAGGCTCTGCGTAATACTCCTCCTCCCTGTCCTGGAAGCCGGGTCCCACGCCATCCAGAGAGAAGATGTGCTCCCGGAGACTGCACCTCGAGTCCTCCTCCCCTCGGGCCCCACAGGTGCCGCCACTGGGCTCGGGACTCAGCTTGTCCTCGGTCTCCCCAGGGATTACGGATAGCATCACCACGTGGTCGCCGTCAGCATCCAGCCCCAGCACTGAGCCAGCCTCTCCTGCGGACATGTCCTGGCCTGCGGGGCCATGCGGGGGCTCCTCCTCACTGGCCAACACAGCTCCTGCCTGCAGGGAGGGAGCACGCTGCTCCTCCGACTGCAAGTGACTGCTGTCCTCTGCAACTGAAACATGCCGGCGTGGGCCCACTCATAAGTCCCTTCAAAGTCCATGAACCCCCCCCCCCAGAATTACAGTTCTCCTCAAATAGATTCTCCCCAACAGAGAAAAGAGGTAACCTTCCCATGAAACTCTCAGAGGGCCATCCACCCTTCTCCAGATAACGAAGAAGGTCACCAGGAGGTACCAGATTAATGAATGTCAAATACAAAGTGGACAAATACAGACCTTCATGTGATACCTGCAGCTTGCCATGCAGATTATAAGCAAAAACATTCCAGTGCAGATATCCAATGAGGAAATCCAATGAGGAAAATATAACACAAACACCTTAGCGAGTTCATTTGTTTGATGAGAATATCCAACAAAAAAATGCTGCCTTTATAGAAGATTCTACTCTAGCGATGCATCCTTGCATACATTCTAACAGCTCTTAGCCTGGCAGGACAAGGATTACCATCCCCACTTAGCGGAGGACCCAGCTGAAGCAGAGAGAGGCGGTGTAACGCCCAACAGTACACAAGCTAATAAGCAGCAGAGCCAGGTCTCTGAATGAAGTCTTCTGGCTGCCGTGCCAGATTGGGCCTTACCCTCCCCTACGATACCTCGGGGGCTGAGATGATGCCTCGCGGCCTGGGAACAATGCTCCAGCCATACAGCAGCTCCTGCCTGCCGTGCCTCTCTAGCCAGACAGAGCCGACTCTCCTGTCTGCTGCCCTTGGGAGTGCCAGGAGGTGCAGCCCTCAGGGCCAGGGCCACAGCAGGGCGAAGGAGGACCTTCTTCCCACTGTGGAGCCACAAGACAGAACTTGGCGAAATGCTCAGGTAAGGGAAGAGTCTGGGGAAGTCTCATTCAACCACCGAGCAATCTCCGCTCACCTCTGCAACAGGGACTCCTGCCCTCCAACTCCCATTAACTCAACAACAGCTGCCAGACTCAGTGCCAAGCATTGACCGGGGGGAACCAATGAGCCCAGCTGTACTCAGACAAGCTCACCATGTGGCTGGGAAACCACCAGCCATGCAATGGGCTCTGCCAAGCCAACAGCATGTCATCAAAGTGTAAATAACCAACTGGCTTTAAAGTTGGGGAAGCTTCCTAAGGCATGCACACTTGTACAGGTCTCAGAGAATATCCCCATAGAGATTTGCAGATTCATTCAGCAATTCAAAAACCTTGTCTGAGAATTCTGCTCTGGCTAAGCCGGAGTAAGAAGGACCAGATTCACCCTCCCTAGTGAAACAACCCAAAAAAAGGCCAAAAATGTGAACCGGTTTCAGGAGACTAGTTAGCAGGCAATGAAGGATAGGGATCCCTGAGAAACAGGAAGAGGAGAGCCCTGCAAGTGTTCCAGTTTACCACCAGAGGGAATGCCTGCCATGGCTCAGGGAGCGGCGAAGGAAGCGAGCAGAGTCCAGCACTCCTCAAGTTGAGGAGATGGTACGGAGGGTTCACAGAGACCAAGAAAGCTAGAGTTCGTGAGACATAATAGTAGAGATGGGCAAGCTCCAGAGACCTGCAGAGTGACCCCAATCTAATACAGCGGTCAGCATTTACATGTGGGTAAACTCCCAAAGCTAGGCAAAGAACCACCCAAAAGGATCAGAGGCAACAGTACCCAACCCTCACACAGAGCTGGGAAGCATACCTGTTCCCACCACCTAGACTGGAAAAACTCACAGTTCCCTGAGCACTGGGGAGCGTACACAAAAGTAGTGGGGCAAAATTGATCCTACAGTAAATACAGCTCTGCTCTTGCCTCACAAACCTTAAAAGCAAGGAACATACCATACTCAGCTAACTCAACTGTACCCTAGAACAAAACTCGTGAATATTTAGAGGAATACTAAAATATCCAGCATTCAACAAGGTGAAATTAATGTCTGGCATCCAATCAAAATTTACCAGGCATGCAAAAAAAAAGCAGGAAAATGTGAACAATAATGAAAAAGGTAATTAATCAATTAAAACTGACCGACAGCTTGCAGATGTCAGAATTAGGAGATAAGGATATTAAAACAATAATTATAATTCCATTACATATGTTCAGAAAGCTAAACAGATCTAGAGACATAAGATATAAAAGACCCACATCAAAACACAAATCGAAACCACAGAGATCTCACCTCCTACCCCTCAGATTAGCTATTATCAAAAAGACAAGAAATAACAAGTGCTAGTGAGGACGTGGAGAGAAAAGGAAACCCTTGTACACTCTTGGAAGGAATGTAAATTGGTACAGCTATTGTGGAAAACAGTATGGAGGTTCCTCAAAAAATTAAAGCTATAATTACCATCTGATCCAGCAATTCCACTTCTGGGTGGAACAAAAACACTAATTTGAAAAAAATATATGCACCCCATATTCACTGCAGCCTTATTTACAAAAGCCACAGAAGCAACCTAAGTGTCTACCAAAGGAAGAATGAATAAAAAACACAGAATCTATACACACGATATTATTATTCAGTCACAAAAAGAGGAAACCTTGCTATCTGCAACATGGATGGACCATTACACTAAGTCAGGTAAATCTCAGAAAGACTAATAACATATGCTCTCACTTACATGTGGGATTTTTATAAATAAATAAATAACTAGCTCATAGATCCAGAGAACAGACTGGTGGTTGCCAGAGGTGATGGTGGGGGGAGGGGATGAAATGGGTAAAGATGGTCAGAAAGTACAAATTTCCAGCTACAAAGTAAGTCATGGCAATGTAAAGTACAGTATGGTGACTCTAGTTAGTGATACTGTCTTGCATATTTGAAAGTTGCTGAGAGTAAACCTTAAAAGTTCTCATCACAAGGAAAAAAATATAACTATGCATGGTGTCAGATGTTAACTAGACTTACTGTGGTGATCATCGTGCAATTATACACAAATAATAAATCATTATGTTGTACACCTGAAACTATATATACTAATATAATGTTATGTGTCAATTATAATATGATTTTTCAAAAAAACCCAGATTGTACTCTGGCAACGAAAACTACAATGTTTGAAATGAAAACTACACTGGGTGGAATTAATAGCAGATTAGGCAATGCAGAAGAAAAGACAGACTAGTGAATCTGAAGGATAGCAACAGAGTTTGAATTTGAAAGCACAGCAACAGAACCTATCCAAAATCAAACACACAATAAAAACAAGAATCCAAAGAAATTAAGAGAATCAGTGAGCTGTAGGATAGTTTCAAGTGGCCTAACATACAGATCATGAGAATACCCAGAAGGCAGAGTAGGGAGGTTAGTGTGGACAGAAAAAGTATATGAATTAATAATAACTAAAAACTGCACATACTTGATGAAAATCATATATCTATAGTAAGAAGTTCAGCAAATCCCAAGCTCAATGAGCTACACCAAGATATTATCATAAGCAAATCGCTCAAAATCAGTGACAAAAACAAAAATCTGAAAAGCAGCCAGAGAAAAAAGATAAACTGCGTACAGAGGAAGAAAGATAAAGATGACAGCAGATTCCTTGATGAAAACAATGCAAGCAAGATAGGTAGCAACTTTAGGGGCACCTGGGTGGCTCAGCGGGTTAAAGCTTCTGCATTTGGCTCGGGTCATGATCCTGGGTCCTGGGATCGAGCCCCACATCGGGCTCTCTGCTCAGCAGGGAGCCTGCTTCCCCCCTCTCTCTCTGCCTGTCTGCCTATTTGTGATCTCTGTCTGTCAAATAAATAAATAAAACCTTTAAAAAAGAAAAAAAAAAAGATAAGTAGCAACTTTAAAGTACTGAAAGGAAAAAACTATAAACCTAAAATTCTATACCCAGGAAAAATATCTTTCAAAAATGAAGGGAAGGGGCACCTGGGTGGCTCAGATGGTTAAGTGTCTGCCTTTGGCTCAGTTCCACATGGGGCTCCCTGCTCAGCGAGGAGTCTGCTTCTCCCTCTCCCTCTGCCCCTCCACCCTGCTCATGCTCTGTCTCTCTCTCAAATAAATAAATAAAATCTTTTTTAAAAAGAAAAAAAAAGAAGGGAAAATAAATACCTTTTCAGAAACATTAGAAGCTAAAAGAATTCATCACCAACAAACACCCAGAACAAGAATCTCAAAGGTATTCTTTCAGGCCAAAGAAAAACAATACTGGATGGAAATATGGATCCACAGAGAAGAATGGTGAGCACAAGAAACAGTAAGGACACTGATAAAAAGACACAGTTTTTCTGAAAATGCAGCTAGGAAGGGGGCAAGAAAGCCAGGGAAGGTGATAAGGGGCCAAAGGAGGTTTCTGTTTCAGCTTTTAGAACAGAGAAGTTTAAGGATATATCAAATTGATGGGAAAAGTGAGGAGGGCAAGGGAACAGTAGAGGTTAGACAGGGCAGAGTATATGGCTTCAGCAGCAAGGTGTGTCCTTGACAGAAGAAAGTCAAACTCTTGTATGACTGTAACTGTGACTCAGAGAAGGCTCTGGGTGCCTCTGCAGGAAACCCTGCCAATTTGGTGGCGGTGGGTTCACAATGACAGTCTTTCTGTAGCCTTTGGTTGATGAGCATGTACCGCTTATATAATTAGAAGAAAAACATGTTTGCTGGGGCGGCCACAAAACAGAGGAAGAAAAGAAGCCAGAAAGGTTACACATCTGGAAAACAAAGGGTGCCAGGTATAAGGGCCAACCCTCCTCCCAAATGCCCCAGCTCCACAGACATCTGCTCTCTCTGAACCTAATCAATATCTTAGGTCTCATAAGTTCATAGAAAATGCCAAGATCCACCTCAGGAAAAAAAAAAAAAATTCAGGGCAGAAATTAGAACCTGGCTCTAACTGATCACCCTCACGAAAATGGATAGATATCCCCTGCAAAAAATCAAAAAGGGCGTCTGAGTGATGCACACACAGAGCTGGTATTTTCAGTTCAGGAGGGTTATTTTTCCCTCCTGTGAAAGAGTTAAGTAGACAGTACACATTATGCACCATAATATTCTTATGCCCTCAGGTACCAGTGTTTTCACTTAAGTATTGGGAAGAGAGGAAACTGAATTATTCCACACCAAAACAGAAATGACATACCGTGTGAGAGCTGCTGAACCCTTGCGTCACGTGCCTTTTAAAAGAAAATGCTTAACCTCAACACACTGACTGCGTGTGAGCCACTAAAAATGACAATCACTGCATCACTGGCAGCAAGAAAGATATCTGGTGGGGCACCTGGGTGGCTCAGTGGGTTAAGCCTCTGCCTTCGACTCGGGTCATGATCCCAGGGTCCTGGGATCGAGCTCCACATTGGGCTCTCTGCTCAGCGGGGAGCCTGCTTCCCCCTCTCTCTGCCTGCCTCTCTGCCTACTTGTGATCTCTCTCTGTCAAATAAATAAATAAAATCTTTAAAAAAAAAAAGTGTGGGGGTGGTTAAAGTGGGTTAAAGCCTCTGCCTTCAGCTTGGGTCATGATCTCAGGGTCCTGGGATCGAGCCCCACATCGGGCTCTCTGCTCAGCAGGGAGCCTGTTTCCCTCTCTTTCTCTGCCTGCCTCTCTGCCTACTTGTGATCTCGATCTGTCAAATTAAAAAAAAAAAAATCTTTAAAAAAAAATCTTTAAAAAAAAAAAAAAAGAAAGAAAGATATCTGGAGAACAAGGGTGGGGGCACGGAGCTCACGCTGCCAGGGAGCCCTAGCCTAGGTCAGATCCTTCACACCCTTCCAGTTTTGCTCAGAAGGCTCTCTACCAGCCACAGGTTTTTCACAATGGCTTCTATGGCAGCAATACCAGGCCCCTCATGGTGTGGTCTCTGTCCACACTCTGAACGAGTTCACCAGACATCTTGGTCCCTGAACACTCACGATCTTTTCCACCTACCTCAGTGTTGTCCCGAGGGCTGTTTCTCTACCAGGAAAGCCCTCTACGGGCTCTCCTGCTGGCTAATCTGAATCATCTTTCAGATCTTACCTTAAACTTACCTTTGCAAGGTGAATTTCAAGGTGAACTTCACCCTCCCTGACCCTTAGACCAGAGGGGTCTCCCATCACAGCATCCAATAATACCCTGGGACTCTCACTGAAGCATTTTCCACTGTTGGAATTTACTTAATTATTTGTAGTCATTTAATGCCTATCCTCCCGCAGATAGGAGGGCGGGCCTGTTTTTCTGTGTGGCTCACCACTGTACCTCAAGAGTTCAGCAGATCATATACATGTGATGTATGCTCAGTAAAAATCTGCCAGCTGACAGCCTAGGGAAGACGGGCATGGGGGTGCTGAAGCCAAGAGGTGGTTCCTGTGCTTTGACACCTGGACAGCACTGCTACCTCCAGCTGCTCATTTGCCAGTAGTGTCCACTACAGGCCCCAAAGCCTTGGATTTCCAGCCACCCTAAAAAGGACCCAGGTGGTGAAAGTCCCTCTGTCCTCACCCCATTCAAGGCCACACCATGAAGACCAATGGCCCACCCTATGGCTGGTGCTATCCTCAGGTCTGCATGCACGTGGCCCAGACTGCTGGGGGAGGGGGAAGTGTTCACATCACACTGACTACAAGTCGGTCCCCCAAATCAGCAAGATTCTGCCTGGAAACAGAGCACACTCAACGTGGGCAATGTGAGAAGATATTAGTAAAGGGGCCACCAACCTGTGGGCTGGATGTCAGAGAAACCAAGAGCAATGGTAAGGCACTTCAGAGCCAGTAACAGCACAGAGGGAGCCAGTTAACCATTCACAGACCTTAAAGAGACCAGAAGCAGGGGTGCCTGGGTGGCTCAGTCATTAAGCGTTTGCTTTGGGCTCAGGTCATGATCCCAGGTTCCCGGGATTGAGCCCTGCATTGGGCTCCCTGCTCAGGGGATGCCTGCTTCTCCCTCTCCTACTGCTTCTTCCTCTCCTACTCCTTGTGTTCTCTCTCTCGCAGTGTCTTCTATCAAATAAATAAGTAAAATCTTAAAAAAAAATTATTTTTCAGAAGAAGCAACAGTCACAGAACCTTGGAACCGTGTGCTCGCCCTTCTAGAAGCTGTGACTTTCTACGGAAGGTCACAAAGCCAACCATGATAACCCCTAAGGGAGGAAGCTGAGAGACTCAATATCCTGACCTCATGCTCCCTTCATTCCAACCCACGGGAACCCAGAAGGCAAGACAGTCAGTTGTTAGGTCATATGGGACAGCTGCTCAGGGCACAGCGCAGGACAGACAAGGCTAGAGAACGACCTGGGAAACAAACAAAAGCTGTCCAGCACATGCTGTCCCCTCTCTGAAGCTGGTGGCTAAGCACAGTGACAAAGAAATGTAGTACAGAGGGTTAAGCAGGCAGGTATGGGCTTGAATCATGGCCTCCTCAACTTCTGCCTGTTGGAGACCTTGGCAGAACACTTAGTGACACTGAGTCTCGGTTTACTCATCTGTAAAACGGGAACCAGAGCAACAGCTCCTTCATAAACATCTGAAGATCAAATAAGATGATGCTCATAAAAGCACGAAGCACAGCACCTGGCGCAGAACCAGTGCTCTCATCAGTGATTGTGTTACTATACTTTCCCCCTTCCTCCTGCTCAGCCACCTGGCGGCCCTGCCTCCTGCCTGGACGCCGCACGGAAAGCAAAGGTCTGCCTATTCCCGTAGGGAGTGACAAGCAAGGCCGAAAGGTCTAGACGTTAACAAATTGTGAGCAGTGGGGGGCCGTGGGACTGAGGATAAGGCCCTAGGAGCCCTGCCTCCAGGGTGGCTGCCTCCTGGCCTGAAGCGGCCCCAAGAGCATGCCAGGGCAAGCAGGGGGTTACCCGGGGAGTCTCCTCTATTGTTCTCATCCAGGCCACCTGAGCAAGAGCAGCCTTCTTTAAGAAGGGATCCATCAAGGTGCCAAGTAAAGGGCTCTGTAGGCAGAAAGACGGGCTCTGCCACGACCCGAAGGGCAGATGCGACCCTGAGCTCCGCGCCTCCACCTGTAACGTGGAGAGCCTCTTACAGCCTCTCTCCTAAGGCGGGTGCGAGGGCTAACTGCGGGAAGGCACAGTCCGGCCTCCTCGAAGGGGCGCCGTAAATGCCGGCTCTTCGTTACGGTTTCTCTCATTCATAATAAAAGGTATGTCTCAGTAGGAGCTAGTACACGGCCACTCCCGTGACTGACGCCTGCTGCAGGGGCCTGCACGGGCTCCCCGCCACCGCGGACCACCACTCGGGGCCACACCGTCGGGAAGAGGAACGACGCGGGGCTGGGCGCGCCGGCCCGCGCCACGAAGGGCCGAGGGGCGCGCCGCGAGACCCCGCGCAGGTCAAAGAGCGTCGTCCTAGCGGACCTCCCCCGCGCCCTGTCATTTCACTCGCTGCCGCCTGCCGCCCCCGGCCGCGGCCCCGGCTCGCACTCACCCTCCAGGCCGCGGGCGGGAGGTCCCAGCACCCACAGCAGGACCTGCCACCACCCGAGGAGCCGCATGGCGCGGGACTAGAAGCTGCCGGGACTACCGGCCCGGACGCAGGGTAACCGGCGCACGACGACGCGCGTAGCGCTCCCGGCCTCCCGGGCGCCTTGGGGGAGGGGAGCCGCGATCGCGAGCGCAATCCCGTGCGGCCATCTTGGCAGCTGGCAGCGCCCGCTGGCGCCATCTTGGAGTCGGGCGGCCTGCCTCTGGCCTGTGGTCTCCGGTGTTTAGGATTCGCTGTTGTTCAGAAGCTGAGAGCCGGACACCTCGGGTCGCATCGAACGTTCCTGAGCCCCAAGCCCTGGACGTGGTTCCAGCCCAGGCTAGCGGCCGTCTATCTTCGCGCGCGAGCCGGTCTCGCTGCTGGCAGCACACACTGCGCCCGTGTGACGCTTCACTCCGGGCCCCAAAAGGCCCGGAAGCCTCCTCCTTCGAGCGCTCCGAATCTCCAGCCTTACCCCTGTTCCCTTACCTACGGTTGCCAGGTGAAATACAGGGTGCCCGGTTAAATTTGCCTTTCACAGAAACCACGAATAGTTTTTTGTTTTTTTTTAAGATTTTTGTTTGTTTGTTTGTTTTTAACTCCCAAGAAACATACGGATATTCCAATGTAAATATGTCCTGTAATTATATTTGTTGCGTCTGGTCACCCTGACCCTACCTCCTGTGAACTTAGGGCGGGCAGTTTTGGTTTGGTGGTTGGTGGATTTGCAGGGCAATCTCCTGCTAGCTAGGCCTCCCCCAGCAAAAGCAGCTCGGAAAGGACCTAGAGTGTAGAAAGGCCGGGATGGGGAGGGGTGGTGTGTCCCAGAGCAGGCCTCTGCAGTCCAGAGCGCGGCGGGGGCGGGGGGGGGGGGGGGGGCGCGGAGGGACCTAAGAGACAATGCTCAGAGATGAAAAGAATGACTCAGTTAAGGGAAGGGCCTCCTAAAATCAATAAAGCCACTTTTGAGCAGTGTGGGCCGGGGCTACATCAGTGCAGAGTGCTGCTGTCAAACTTATTTGAAGAGGTTGATAACACAAATAGATTTCAAAGGCCTTTACATCAAATCGCTGGTAGTTAAAGCAACGTGAAGAGGAATCGAGGGGTTTTTTGGCCATATGGTGAATCCCAACTCCAACATTTATAGGGATATATGATCAGTCAGCAAATTATGTAACTTTTCTTAAATTCAGTTTCTTCATCTATATAACGAGATGAATTTATGTGAGTTTAAATGAGATGTAAAGCGATGAGCACAGTGCATAATGCCCAGTAAGCACATCAGAGCATTACCCATTATTTGGATCTACAATTCTAGCGCAGTAACCACAGTCCCCTGGTGTCCATCAAAGAGAGTTAAAGCAGGAAGATGTATCATCAATCTGACCTCACTGATTATTCTTCTATTCTAAATAAACCGCCAGGTTTTTGCTATGGTAAATTCTCAGATGCCTTTGGATCCAGGAGACAAGGAACAACATGGAGGAAACAGCCTACATTTCTAAGGCCGATCACTACAGTCATCATTTGGCTGAACTACCTCCCTTGCCCCCTACCCAGTAATAACAAACCTTACTTTATTTTTTTTCTTTCTTTCCTTTTTTCTTTTTCTTTTTTTTAAAGTAAAGTCTATGGAGCTTGAACTCATCACCCTGAAATTGAGCTTCATGCTCTACCAAGTGAGCCAGCCAGGCGCCCCAAACCTTGTCTGCTCTAACTTATTCTCTCTCATACCCTTCATACCTAATTTGAAGGTGCATAAAAGCCAATAGGACAGAGGATTAAGGGGGTTAGGATTTATAAAAAGGAGAGTGATTTGATTTGTCTGGACACTCTGGAGTGGATGCTCTGTTACTACTTCTTTTTTATTATGTCCTTTCCTTCCCTGTGTTTGTGCTTTGGCTGTTTGTTTGGACAATACCCTTGCAGGTGGTGGAATTGTTGTCTTTCCTTAAATACTGTGTATACACTCTCAAATGACAACTCGGAAAATGCTGTCAACGAGACAGAATTCACATTTGACTGTCTCACCACCAGATGGCACCTGGACTTATTTTCTATCTTTCTTTTTTTTTTTTTTTTAAGACTTTATTTATTTATTTATTTGGCAGACAGAGATCACAAGCAGGCTGAGAGAGAGGAGGAAGCAGGCGCCCTGCTGAGCTGAGAGCTAGATGTGGGGCTCAATCCCAGGACCCTGGGATCATGACCTGAGCTGAAGGCAGAGGCTTTAACCCACTGAGCCACCCAGGTGCCCCTGGACTTATTTTCAACAAGAAAATTGCCTTCAGGTTTGTCTTGAAACTTTATTTTGTTTCTGAGGGGAAAAACGTTGATATCCTCATCTTTGACTGAAATGAACTGTGTGTACCACCATTTGGCCCAGGATTGTTCATTCGTATGAATGATAATAATTTGATAATAATTGGAATTGTTATGCATAACTATACACCCGCATGCCAGGTGTTTAGTTTATCCCCTTGATGGATTTGCCTAATTTGTTTTGAATCTGATGAGTCATGAGAGCTTCTCTTTAATGGTGTCTGTGCCTGTCTCTCTCTCATGAAAAAACAAAACAAAACAAAAAAAAAAAGTATTTCCATTCCCTTAAATCACTGCAGCAGAGTATATTTTCCAAAGACTGCCACAATAATATCCTTCCTCCCACATGCTGTTCTACAAAGTAATTTTGCCCCTGCCCCATCAATAGATAGAATCAAATTCCTCTTCCCTTGAATCTGGGTGGGCCTGTGATTTACAAGGAACCAAGAGGATGTAATAGTGCATGAAGCCATTCTGTATAACTTCTGAGGCTATACAGCTTTACACTTCTTTGCTGGAAGATTTGCACTGAAGCTCTGAGCCACAAAGTAGGTGGTTGGACTGTCTAAAGCTGCCATGTTCTGCAGAAGTTCAAACCAGCTTGCTGAGAGAAGCCTAGACACTATGAAGAGAAATGCCCACCACCACTCACTGATCCCAGGCCCACTCGGTTCCACCTTTGGCTATCACTGGACTACTACTGCCTGAGAGACGACAGCCAGAAATGTTCAGACCCACAGATACAGAGATCAAAAAATTATTGTTATTATAAGTCATTAAGCTTAGGTAATTTTTTTTAGAATAGATGACTGGATCATTTTATTTTGTAATTTAGTAACTTTTAATCTGAAGATACTATGTGAATTAATTTAATAAATCAGTATGTTGGGCATATATTCATATACTTATTCTGCCAAGTTTCTTTCTCTTCTTTGATTTTAATGTTATATTTTGATGGACTTCAGTTAACCCACTGTATTCATTATTATTTAATCAATACTGAATATTCTGTGCAGTTATAACAAACTGATTAAACTGAGGTCCTTCAGTAATTCAGTATCTTCCCAAGGACATTTCATCCTCACAGGGCAGATCAGGGTAATGTATAGTAGTTAAGAAAACCGTAACAAAAACCCACAAGCTCTCTTGCCCAACTTTATCTATTCAGGATATATATCCTAAATTTCATTCCTAATTGAAATCATGCTTTAGTTTGGTATATATGAGGTGCTCCCTAGTGTACTCACAAGTATGAACCGTCACAGGAGCCCTCTGCATTTCTAACCTGAGTACTAAGCCCTTGGCATTTATGTTTTCACTCGGATGGTTTTCTCCCAAAGATACCATTCCGATTTGACTTAAGAGGAAACTAAAGCACAAAAAAAAAAATGGTTTGGGGTCACAGAGGGAGTTTCTGACAGAGCTAAGACAGAATACCAATCTGAATTTAAGACTTTATACACTCTGGTATACAATCAATAACTCATTTCAAATGCTAGCACACTGTTAATCAATACCTCTGTAATGGCTCATGTAAATAAATACTAGATTTAAATAAATTCATTGTATTCAACTAATGAGAAGGATCCTGAGGCGAGAGGTTGAAGATCTAAGAGAGAGGAAAAATTCTGAGAAGAAAGTAGAGAAGGGGATCTGGCGAGGGATAAACCTGAAACAGTAAAAGGAATACAGTAAGAGGAATACGCCTCCATTGTAATAGGAGGAAAGAGTGAAGGCAGATAAGCTATTTTCTCTGTCAGGAAGGTGGTAGGCTGAGAGACTGTGGTGGTATCTAAGTATCTTAAGAGCGGAGAATGGGAACCAAAATAACCTAAATGAAGAGTGCCATGAGAGCTGACTAAGGATACAAAAGAACGTCCTGGTAGCACTGGGGATCAAGCTGTGGTTGGAAAGCAAGAATTTATAGTAGCAAATGGCACAGGTGTTTTTCTCCATTTAGCATTTAGCAGCCCAGGAGTAAATGGTAGCCAGAATTAGCCCAGAGTTAGTGTTTTGTCAAGCTTGAGTGATATATAGACCAGGGGCAAGTTAACTGAACATAATGATAGTTGCTAATATCTTTATGAGCCTAGTTGAGTCCTGTTTTTACCGTTTTTTAAATTGTATATTTTTTTAACTCCAGTATAGTTAACACAGTGTTATATTAGTTTCCAGTGTACAATACAGTGATGCATGAGCATAGATGAGTCTTAACATTATCTTGAAAGGGAAATTTCATGAGTTGGCCATTCCTTAGGTAGAAGAATACTTCATATAACCTAATAATTATTTACAATCAGTATATTAGTTATCGGGGCACCTGGGTGGCTCAGTGCGTTAAAGCCTTTGCCTTTGGCTCAGGTCATGATCCCAGGGTCCAGGGATCGAGCCGCACATCGGGCTCGCTGCTCAGCAGGGAGCCTGCTTCCTCCTCTCTGCCTGCTTGTGATCTCTGTATGTCAAATAAATAAATAAAATCTTTAAAATATATTTTTTAAAAGTATATTAGTTATCTATTGCTACATAACAAATTACATAAAACTGGGCTCTTAAAACAGTAATAATCAGGGGTGCCTGGGTGGCTCAGTTGGTTGGTCAACTGCCCTTGGCTTCAGTCGTGATCCTAGGGTCCTGGGATCGAGTCCCACATTAGGCTCCTTGCTAAGTGGGGAGCCTGCTTCTTCCTTTCCCTCTACCTACTACTCTGCCTGCTTGTGCATTCTCTGTCAAACAAATAAATAAAAATTTTAAAAAACAGTAATAGGAGCTCCTATTACTGGCTGAATAGGAGTGGCTGAATCGTTAAGTGTCTGCGTTCGGCTCAGGTCATGATCCCGGGGTCCTGGGAGTAAGCCCCGCATCAGGCTCCCTACTCAGTGGGAAGCCTACTTCTCCCTCTCTCACTCCCCCTGCTTGTGTTCCCTCTTTTGCTGTGTCTCCCTCCATCAAATAAATAAAATCTTTTTTAAAAACTACTAATAATCATTTATTATCTCACACCTTTTATATGGGTTAGCAATTTAAGCACTGGCTTAGGTGGTTCTGGCTGAGAATCTCTCAGGATATTACATCCAAGAGGAAGGCAAGTGTCACAGTCATTTGAATACTTGATTGGGAATGAAAGACATGCTTCCCAGATGGCAAGTTGTTGTTGACTGATGGCAGAAGGTCTCTGTTCTTAACCATGAGGGTATCTCTGTAGGACTGTTTGTATGTTCTCATGACATGACAGATGGCTTTTGCCAGATCCAGTGACAGAAGAGAGCAGCACTAAAGTTGCAAAGTCTTTTATGTTCTAGCCTCAGAAGTTATACACCATTATTTCTACAATATTCCATTAGTTACACATGTCACCACAAATAATGTAGGAGTAGACTATACAAGGACATAAATACCAGGAGGTAAGGATCATTATGAGCCATCCTGGAGGCTGGCTTACCACAGGTGAGTAATAGTACTTGGATTTCTATAGTATTAACCCTTAAAGATGTTATAAATAACACTGTGT